CGGGGGCAGCAGAGCCCCTTGGCCCCTGTGGATCCTGCCCTGCCTGGCCCAGCCAGGAGAAGTTTAGGAAGTGTGGAGGGGACGGCTCTGACCCCCCTGGATGGTGCCTTTGCCTCGTGGTGCCAAGGGCTGTGTGGGAAAGTGCTGGTGGTGGGGAGAGCTCTGCATCTGTCCTTTTTTATTTCTTATTTTATCCCCTCTAAACCCTGCTAACTCTGTCCTTGCTGGTGTAGGAGTAGTTTGGGGTCCCCTCAGCAGTGCTGTTACACATGTCTGAGAACACTCGACATGTCAGAGAAAATTCTGTTTCAGAGCAAAAGCTCAGGCTGCTGTAGCAATTCTCATTTTGGACGAATGCATCTACTCTCTCAGTTCATATTTATTTTATGATGAAAAAGTCCCTCCAAATGATGAGTGCTTCTTGCGTGCCAAGAATCCAAGAGCTTCCCGTGTCTGAACGTAAAAATCGGTGAGAGGCTCCTTTATAAGAACACTGTGAGTGGGGAAAGACTATCTCTGGCAGATAATGCTTCATAAAAATTATTTTAATTTGGAATTGTTAGTCAAAACTATTAAAATCATTGACCATATTTTTAAGGCTGAACTCCAGCTGCAGTTAACAGAGACTGGAGAAAGAAAGCGGAGGTTTTTACAAAGAAAAAGAGATGAGTGACGCAGTTTTTATGTATTTGGGGAGATGTGTTTTATTTAGACTCCTCCCTGAGAATGGATGTGCCTGCAGTGAGGCCAGGCTGGTTTACACTTGCTGAGGGTCTGACCCACATATTCCATCCCAAACCCCACCTGCCCCTGGTCTCACAAGGAAATACCTCTATGGTGCTAAAAACCAGACCCAACTGCGGTGTGGTGAGGGGTCCTGAGAGCGGCTCAGCCAGAAAAGAGGCTCCTTTAAGTGTTCTGTTAACTGAGGGCTGGTTCCCCAGCTGCCCAGCTCTTCTGGCTTCGAGGCAACTTTGCCTGGGCCTTATCTTCACACTAAATTTGGAAATCTGGGTTGGATGCCCATATGTTACTTCTGCTCCAGCTCCAGCGTGCTACAGGGCTGAATCCTTCACCCTTGGAAATCAGAGACAGCCTTACCAGACTTGTCTGGATTATTCCTGATGTTTTCATGTCTTTGATGCTTGCTTTGCTTTATTTAGAGAAGTTCTGCTGAAATGATTCACCTGTGTGTAGAGTTATGAATGGCAGATTGAGTGCTCGGGAAGCTTGACTTCCAGAGCATTTTCAGGAGTTGATTGACTTCTATAATATGATAGCTGGTAACAGATTATACCTTTCAGAGCTGTGTTACCTGAACTTGATCAACACTGCACGATGGTTTAAATATTATGAAGTGCCAGAGGCTGCATCAGGCTGAGGAAAAACGCTCTCAGTGCTCTAAGCAGAACATAAATAGGAGGAGTGGAATGGTTTGTCTTTGTCTCTGTCAGCTGCTGAGGACTAACAGGGAAGGAGGGAATCAGGATGTGCTCAGATATTTCTATTTGTTTGAGGCTGTGTCTATTGGAGTGAAGTGTAAGTTCCAGAATAATTCAGTGTAGCGGTGGCGAGTACATTAAATCTCCGTGTGCATCCCAGCAAAACCTCTGGGATGAGGAGGAGAGCAGCAGAACAAACAGAAACTGCTACAGAGGGCTGGAAACAGCCCCTTAGGACCAGTACCCCACATTCAGGGAAGATTAATCAAGACTTGCCTTCACTTCACCACGAGCAAGATCACACTGTAAATTTTATTTCCTCGTGAATGGTCGGATAGAGGTGCTGTGTGTAGATGTTATTTCTCTGCTCATTTCTCATCCAGCTTTTACAGAAAATCCTTATTAACTCAGTCAGAAAGATCACTTGGAGGGAGGCAGGGCTCATTTCATGTCTTTTGATAGAAGGAGGGTTTACAAATTCACCGGAGAACTGTCACTCTCCTGTGGAATGAAAGGCTGGCTGTGCACAGAGATGTGCATGTGCAGCTCAGAGCTGGAATCAGCTCTTGTTTCCAGGCACTACAACATCCCTTTAAAGCAGAGGCACTGCTGGGATTCTGGGCTCAGCAGTGGCAGTGACTGAGACGGTTGTTTCTGAGAGCAGTAAGTGGAAGAGCTTTGAAAAACAGCAGCTGAAATATTCATATTTTGCACATGCACTTGTAATGCTTTGAACTGAACTGATTTTTAATGGTTTTAGGATCTTTCAGCCTGATCATACAGAATTACCTCTTGGCTGGGTTTGCTTTGGAGTTCCACAGCCAGAACTATTGCTGAGCTCCAGCTAGAAGCTGGGGCTGATTTCTTAGAGTTGTAGCCAGTGATATTATGTTGATGCTCTCTGTCTGCATTTGTGAGGATGGTTTGTTTTCATCAGTTTGTCAGGTTTTTATTTTTTCTCAAGCATTTCTTAAGTGGGCAGAGTATTTGCTTTACTTTCAGGATGGGGATGAGCTAAGGAATCTTTGAACAAGGAGTATCAGTTGTTTGGTTGCAAAGCTGTTTTTCTCTAGCAAGGAGGGATGACCCAGAATATTCTCTTACCGTGGCCATGACCCCAAATCCCCAGGCTCCAGTGCATAAATAATTCACAGATAGTAGTATTGCTCCCTGACCCCTGTTTAGCCCTCAGCAGCAGCCACTGTGCTCTCTGCTGAGCTAGAAATGCACAAAGTAGGACTGGTTACAGTCTACAGAGAGGGATTGAAATATTCCAAGTGCTTCCCACATGGTCAGCCCAAGGCAGAAGGAGACAGTGGCAGTTCTCCTGTAGGAGATTTTCCCCAGTAAACCAGCTCTGTATCCTGCTCTAAGGTTGTCTGGCCTTGCCTGGAGTGTGATGGTGCAAAGGGCACAAACAGGCACCTTCTGCCCAGAGCTTCCCTTTCCCTGCTCCTACATCAGCTGTGTCGCTGCAGAGGGAAAGATCCCTGTGCTGCTCTTCTCCTTGGCCTCTGCCTTTGCTCCTCCTGCCCTGTGAATAATAACACTGACTGGTTTTATAAATGACCACCCTTTTCCCATGTAGAGCCCACGGTGCCATTTTTACCTGGCAGCTCTGAATTTCCCCGGGAATCTGCTTGCCCACAGACCCGGGCAGGCCGGGGCACTGGTTTAGGTGAGGCTGACTTAAAGTGCAGGAGGGTTTCTGTTCCTGCAGGCCGGTGCACTGCTCTGGGTGAGGCTTAACTCAGGGGAAAGGAGGCTTTCTGTCCCTGCCTCTCCCCACAGTCTGGGCCCGGTGCTTGCTGAGGGCTCGCTGGAGGGCAGCTGCTTTCAGCTTGGGAGGCTCCTGCAAAGTGCCTCTGTCCGGCCAGGCTGAGTCCAACGGGATCCCAGCCGGCTGTGCTGTGCTGCCTGTGTCCCTGCAGCCCAGCCATCAACCTTCCCCCCTCCCCAGGGCAGGGAGAGAGTGCTCGAACACACCTGCCCGGGGGGACTACACTGAAGGCTTTTGCTTGGACGCTGTTGCTGCTTTCAGTCTCTTTCCACTGATGTGGGTTTTTTCATGCTCTGACATTTTTACTCCCCTCAGACCCACTTTCTGCTGCTCCTTGCCCTGCTTTGTGCTGTTTGCTCCTGATGGTTTCTGAGTCTCTTC